AAAACAATCCCTCTTAGCAACAGTTATCAGCCAATAACTGTTTTTGTGTTCAGGACAGGTGACAGATGGTAAATATTAATACAATTCTGAGGATGTAGCTTAATTATATTTTATCTGGATGCATTGTGGGTTCATATTGAGAAAATTCCTAAATGCACTAGATCCTCCAATAGGAGTACAGCTCCAATTTTACCTACTACCACCTACATGAAAAAGCTCCTTTCGTAAAATAATAGTAAATGTTTATAAAATAACATACAGCAAGAGAATGGGGAGGAGAGAAAAGTCTGTCTCCATTAGGTTAAGTGAAAAATACTGATGTCACAACAGCTGAGCTTTTATGTATCAGCAAACCCCATTCGCTTACGCACATCAACTCAATTTGACTCAGCTGTTTTCTATCACACTCTCTCAATTTTAAATTACTGTTCTCATGAGTCATGAATGGAAGGAATAAATGATTTAACTCAATCGGATAAGTTTGATATCAGCATATATACCTGTGGAAAGGAGGCACTGCTATAAAAGCAGCATCCTATTCCTTTGCATTTGATTAGGGAAGATAACTGTAGATCTGATTGTCATTATTCAAACAAACAATAAACTGGGATTTGGGCAAGGCCTTTGTTTTTCTTCTATACTACTTACCTGGAGTGATAAATCAGCCCTAATGAAATATTTCCTCCAAGATATGCTAAAATCTAATGCAGTAAACTATACAATTTAATTGACAACAGGGTGATTAAAAGTAAAGGAGAGTAGGGTTACTGTATTTTTAACAGTGGGTCAAAAAGAGAATGTCGACAAGCACAGCTTTCCTCACAACTGCATGACAAGTGACATCTCCCAAATTTTCCTCTTCTATATAAGTGTGAAACAATATAGACACCCTTTCCTCCTCGGCCTCTGGTCAACCATGTCCCAGATCAGCAAACAGGGCCTAATCCAGCTCCCAGCAAATGCCACCTGCCAATCCAGAAGCAAGAGGAGCAGATTGTGCCACAGCTATTACAGATGCAACTGGATTTCCTGGCAGTCAGAGAGGTTGAGGGGAGTTGGCTCATCATCCCTGATCTCCTCCTCAAACTAGATAATGACCAGTCATGTACTCTATAAGCATAAAGCTGGTTATTTAATATGATGCATTATCATATGGACAGAGTTGCCTAGAAAACTATAAAAGTCCGCGTACATTTGGCTACACACTGACCACTTGTTACCTTAAGGTATGAGCCTTATCAGAGTGGCACAGGGTCCCTTCTGAGTTTGGTACAATGCCAGGTATGCTTTTAGCTTTAGAGAAATGCTGGCAGCAGTTGGAACCATTATTAACAATAGAGGAGGCACTGCCTCCTTCCAAACATATCTTTAACCAGAATACAGAGACAGCATGCAAGAGTGAAACTTGGCTAAGCTTGAGGAGCCAACCATATAAGCACAAAAGTAGCAGCATGCGTATTCTTAAATAAATAAATTTAAATTATTTATTTAAGTAAATTATTAAATAAATCCCACTAGTTCAGTGGCCTAAGTCTCAGGTAAATGCATACAGGATTGCATCCTGGTGTGAAAGGTGGTATGAGGTATGGAAAGACCATCCAAATAGGGTTATACAAATATTCTTTGTCCCATTAAGCACCCCAAACACAAAGAGTAATACAATTCTTGGGAAATGTCTTCAGCTTCCTGAACTTGCACATGTTTGAAAATGCACACTTGCACAATTGTGCAAAGCACCCCAAAATCCACATTTTCACACTTTTGCCTATGGGGAAAATATATATTTCTCCAAGTAGGGACTAAAAAAAGATTCCTGTGTTTGGAAATGCAAATGAGGTAACACAAGCCTTGAGAAAAACATCAACAAGCTCAAACATGACACGTCTGTCCATTTCTAGGCCTCAGGAAGAAATATAGAGGGAAAGAAACTTGGATGTCAGCTGAATTTGGCAAAGTTCCATTACTGGGTTGATTGTTGCTTATTGCATGTTTTGACAAAATAACATCAGACTTCAAAGCTCTAGGGAAGAAAATCAAAAACATTGGGGCCCAGATAATCTCCTCAATCCTACCAATATGTGAAAGAAGAACTGATAGGGAGAGAAAAATGCTTCAAGTGAATGACTGGCTACGATGGTGGTGCCGTAAAGAGAGACTTGGATCCTGGGATCACAAGCTAAGTTCCTGGAAGATGGGCTGTTGGCAAATGATGGGCTGCACCTCACAAAGAACGGAAAGCATGTGTTTGGCCACTGCACAAAACAGTTCATCGAGAGATCTTTAAACTGAGGCACATAGGAAAGGGAGATGTGCAGCATGGCATACCATCACCTGACAGAGACTTGCATATTTCAACAGAGAAAAAACCTCAAGCAGAGCCTCCCAAAACAGGGCATCCTACCATTAGGCTCCCAAAACACACAGGAAGAAAACAAGAGCAAAATGAACTTCAGTGTCTATACACCATGCCTGAGTATGGGAAACAGACAACATGAACGTGTGCCCATAGCACACGAGGGTAATTATGAGCTTAACGGAATAAATGAAACTTGGTGAAATGACTCACACGAGTGGAACTCTACAAGTGATGGATACATCCTGTCCAAAAATAAGGGGGCAAAAAGGAAGGTGGAGCCACACTATATGTAAGAGACACATATTCCTGCACAGAAATACAAGAAGGGGAATGTAGTAGAAGCACTGAAAGCATCTGGCTTAATTTAAAGGGAGCAAGGAATTTAAAAAAAACATATTGGCATTGGTTACCTACCACCCAGTCAAAAAGAGGACAACCTTTGAAGTGCAGCTTACCACAGTTTCCAAGAAGAATGATGTAGTCTTCATGGGGAAATCCAATTTCCCTGATATGTTTGGAGACAATTTCTGCCAAACATGGCCCCTCTAAAAGATTCCTGACACGAGTTGCCAACAACTTACTCCAGCAACTCAATCTTAAGGAAAAAGGAGTCAAGATGTGGTCCCCATCTTCATAATAGGGGGAAAAAGATGAACTGGGGAACTATAGACCAGTTCATCAATCCCTTGGAAAATTCTGGAGCAAATTATTAAAAAATCAGACTGAAAACACTTTGAAGAAAATGCACTGATGAGCAGAAGCCAATATGGATTTCTTAATAATAATTCATACCAAATTAACCTAATCTCATTTCTTGACTGGCCAACCTTCCAAATGGATAGTGAAACATTGTGGACATAATCTACCTCAACTAGCAAAGCTTTTGACATGGTGCCCCATGACATCCTGATAAGCAAACTAGGAAAATGTGGAGCAGACTAGATGGAAAAACTATTTTGTGGATCCAAAATTGGCTGTTAAATTAGATACTAAGAGTTTTCATCAATGGCACTTTCTCAGACAGGAAGGAGGTAACTAGTACGGTGCTGCAGGGTTCAATACTTAGACTCAGTGCTCTTCAACATCTTGTTCCCCTATATTCCTCCCTAGGCAGACCTCATCTGCAATACTGTGTCCAGTAACGGGCACCAAGATTTAAGAAAGATGCATTAAAATTGCAGAGGAGGGCAACAAAAATGATCCAGGGTTTGGAAACATTGCCTTATGAGAAGAGAGGATTAGGTATGTTCAGCCTTGAAAAGAGAAGACTGAGATGGGATATGATATCCTTCTATAAGTACCTCGAAGGCTATCGCAAAGAGGAAGGTCAGGATCTCTTCTTGCTGACACCAGAGTGTAGAACATGGAATAATCAGCTCAAGTTGCGACAACCCAGATTTAGGCTAGAGATCAGGAAAAGTTTCCTAATTGTCAACGCAATACAACAGTGGAACCTGTTTCCTAGACAGACTGTGGATTGGCCCACACTAGAGACATTCAAAAAGAAACAGTCAGCCATCTGAGTGGGATGGTGTAAATTGGTGTCTTGCAACAGCAATGGTTTGGACCTGATGGCCTTCTTGGCCCCTTAACTCTACTATGATTTGCAGAATTCAATTTTACTATTCATTCACTTTATCTTATATGTTCTTGCTGTTCTGGAGGGTCTATTTGAGTTATATTCTCAAGCCATTATGTTATTGTACCTGTGTGCATCTGTTTTTAAGAGTTTTTGGTCTGGTAACTTACTGAAATACTGATATTGTGCTATTAAATTCAATTGTTACTGAAATATCTATTAAAATCTGAATGCTGTTATATATATTGTTGTATTATTCCATTTATAAATGTAAACAATAATAAAATATTCCATGTTATTTGAAGTTTAAAAATGGAAGCTTAAATTCAAGAAATTAAAACAGATTGTACATCATCACACAAATATATAATCCCTTTGCTGATCACAAGGTCCTTAGGCTGATAATTACTAATATGAAAAAATAAAACTGAAATTCCAGATACTGACTCCCTTTGTTCCTATAGGCATGCCAAACAAGGTCAGCTTCAACTAATATTCCAGCTTAAACAAGTTGGCTTGCTCTAATACTAACAGAATAAGTTCATTCAGGAAGAACATAATACAAAATGGAAAGTTAGAATGAAAATACATGCCCAAGACCCAGCTAAATGTACTCCTTTATCACAGCTCAGGACAGTTTCTGTCCCTTTCGCCCTTTGCTTGCTTACATACAAATGTTTTGGTGGCAGTCCCAAAATAGGTAAAAAAAGGCTACTTTTCTGAAGAAACCACTGTAGAGTGAAACTTGAGATGATTTAGATATGTCAGCAAGGAGAGGCACATTGCTTATGCTTCAAACGATCTCTAATTGTTTCCCCAAGTATGACTGAGTTACCAAGAACAAAGCAGATACCTGAACCAAATAGGTACGGGAATGTCTCAGAAGTGCCCCACTCACTGCCTCTCAAAACAGTGTGAAGCAGTGTGAGTGGAGCGTGTCCATGCAGGCCCTGGGGGCTATGAGAATATTAGAGTGTCATCATGCACACCAGCTCCATTCGTGCTGACTTCCTGTGTTCCAGGAGACCTCCCACACAAGGCTGGGGATCCGGAGAGCCACCTTACCTTCAATGCCCGGACTTTCTTGGCCAGCAGACTCTCAATGTCTCCGGCCACTTTTTCCACTATTTTATCTGGGACGTTCTCTCTTACTTCAAATAGGTTCTTTTTCTCATCGTAGATCTGTTGAAAGAGGGTAAGAGGAAGAGAAATGGGTATTTTACAGATCAGCACAAACCTCTGAAATGTTCGAAAAATGTCTTTAAAAAGGGGGGCACTGAATTCCTTCCTGTCTAAGCCCCTCTATTCAGAGCAGTATTTGTGCACTGAAAAATTTGTTCAAGGATATTCCTCCTTCCCACTATGAAAATGTACCATGATTTACTGGATTTCACTGAAGATATCTTTAGCAATTTACCCCATTCCGCTGTCTTTTCACTGGTTTAAAAAAATAGGCTTATCCTCCATATTCTGGCCTCACACAGGGGCAGGGGGGAGTAAACAAATGCATGGCTGTGAGAAACTCAAATACATGACAGCTTCCCATATAGTATCCTCATGAAATGGAATTCAGCTGAAACGATATTCACCAACAACTGCCACAAACCAGCTAGTGCCAAGTGTGAAAACGAGGTCAAAAATGCTCCTACGGAACAGAAGGTTGCATTCGAATGCCTGGTCAGCTTGTTAACCCCTCTGAGATTTTCAGCTTTTCCTTTATTCAAATCATTTCCCCACTGTTACAAGCTGAGCATGCCACACAGTCAGAAGCCTTTGAAACTGAGTTTCTCATTTTCTCAGGATATTCACAAATTGCCCCCAAGCCTCAATCAGAACTGCATTTCATAAAATCCCACATATGCCCAACCCAGTTGATGAAAACTAGCCTACTGCCCCCCTCCCTCCCACTGTGCGTCTAATTCAGTGGGTACAGAGACAAGCAGCAGATGGTGCATGGCTGAAGGTGGTGGCACAGTCAGTGGAGCTCCAAGCAAGGCACAGAAAGAGACTGATAGGTTCAAAACACTGCTAAGGAAAGGGAAAGAAATGTTTAGAGTGCATGCATGCAAACAGTGCAACAGGAATCTGCCTGCATTATTAAACTACACAGCACCTGGGGCTTTATTTGATTGTGGCCACTTCAAATACCGTTGGAGCAAATTCAGAGTCCAGTGCAGGTTGGGGATGGAAACCCCCTGGACACCAGAGCAGCCAGTCCATTCAACATGCTAACAGACACTACCTACGTTGTTATCACAAGGCTCCAGAATTAATTGGCTCTCTTTTCATTTATATCTGCTTGAAAAAAAAAAAAAGAAATATACACAAGTTTTCTATAAGTCGTTTACATAGCAGATCATAGAATCCTAACAGAGAGGCTGGAAAACATGAGAATCAACACACGGAGGAGCAACAAGATTGCATCCACACTTACGCTCAGTTCATCTCCACACATTGGCTATAACTTGCAAGGGGTGTGTGTGTGTGTGTGTGTGTGTGTGTAAGACAGAGGGAAGCTTGTAAAATATCAAGCCTACACACACCGCACTCTATGCACAGACCCTTCACTTACACACTGCATCCAGTTTGCAGAGGTCAACCTGCCTTGAGGCGTGCATGCAGGCAGAGAATAGCCAGGTAGGTGAGTACCACCCTGTTTCCACACCCTGCATTTATTCTACATGGATTGCTCCCGCATGAGGAGGACTACTGTTTCAGCAAACATGAAAGCTGTCTGAAATAGTACCAGAAATAGGTTTATGAAGAGCACAACCTCAAGCAGTTCGTGGAAGGATACAAATGCCCCACATGGAAAGGTTTTTTCATTTCCTTTTTCTACCTACATGCCCCTTCTGCCCCTTGTCTCAAAATTGCCTTTGACCTGCTACACAGAATGGCTGTTCAGCAAGCAGCAAGCTCCATCCCAATAATGCAAAGGCAGCTGGAAGTGAACCGATGTGCCTGCATACTAAATCCGAGTCCTCACCCCTTGTCTTACAACAAGGTATGGAGGGGGAAAAGCTGTTAACACCAGAGAATGGAACATAACTGAGTCTTATACTCTCTTATGTCTTCTCCCTTCCCTTCTCTTATTATTCTTTGTGTAGGCAACAGCATAATGTGTTTTGAAGGCCTAGCGATTCCAGCTGAGCAGCAGCAATTAGGGAAGCAACAGAAAGGGAACACTCTAAAGAGAAAGTCAGAATTTTCCTATTATGAAATGACAAATCTCTCTTCATTGGTCCTAGCTGGCCTTGCCCTTGAAAAACAACTATGGCATATTTTGTTTTGGCCATATCAAGCTCTAGTGCTTGGGACCTTAAAGGGAGAGTCCAGGTCTTGGAAATTATCAAACATCACTGGAACCTGTCAGCCAGGGGACAGTGATGAAACATGGTGCCAACCTTAACAGAGGAAATGTCCAGCTATTATATTATCATAGTGGAATATACCCACATTGCAAAATAGATTGTTGTTATTTAACAGCCAATCAACTGGATCCCAACACAGAGAAATGGCACTGAGTGAAAATAGCCAAAACTAACACAAGCATGTCACTAATCCTACTCCTTAATGTGACATTCCACCTAAACCCATGAAAAGTGGAATTAATAGTTGCTGTATGCGCAGGCTTTCAAAATGTGTTTGATACAGTCCCTCACAATTATTTAAGGTGATAATATAAAAAATAGATTGAGACAATCTCCAAAAGGATCTCTCCAACCTGTTACTAAAATGGTAAATAGAGTTCAGAGTAGGTAAATCATTCCACAGCTGAAATTATTTGGGCACTACTGAACAAGATGCAAGTGTGAATGTCAATTATCCTGTAGAAGGGTCAACCACTCTAGCACCATGCTAGTCGCATTTTCTGGCTGTGCCCACTTTCCAGGAAAATCAGCATGCCAGCTACCACTCCTGGTGTTGTGCTAGAATAGTTTACATTAGTGCAATGTAATTTATGCTAGCAACTGCAGCCCACTGGATCCCTAATAGTTCTTATTAGGGATGTGTAAGAAACCTGTCTGGAGGAATGAATCCATAAGATTCCCTGGGCTCAGCAGCCCAGAATCCAAGTTCCTGGTGAGCATGCCCAGTGTTTGTGGGGTGCTCTCCAAGAATGGAGCCCCACGCACTGCACAAGCAGCGACCCTCTTCCATGCCTGGCACTGCCACTGCCAGCTGCGCCCCATGGGGAAGAAGGCAGGCCTCTGGGAATGGGGCCTGGTGTGGCTACAAGCAGCACCTCTCTTCCATGCCTGGTGATGCTGCTGTTGGCTGTGCTGGGCACAGAAGGTTGGTTACAGGGAATGCCACCTGGCATGGCCACTCACAGAGCTCCTCTCCTATATCCTGCAGCTGCTCTTTGGGTGGCTGCACCTGATGAGAAATGCCATTTGCACAACCGTGGGACCACCAGGGTCCATAGACTTCCTCTTGGCTTGGCTCATTTTGCAGGCCTGGGCTGAGCATGAGAGGAAGTGCACAGATGCTGAAGGGATGGATTCCAAAAGGATTCATGCTAACCCTAGTTTCGGGTAAAAATGTGGGTAGAGGATTAAACAAGTGTTTAAAACACCTGAAATTTCAAAACATTTGTATAACTTTTACTTCTGCGAAATGTTGTAAAAGCTTGTGGCAGTTTTCCAATTCTCAACTTCTAAAAGCCATGTTGAAACCTACTAAGCCTTTTCTCAACCAGCTGTGAGGAAAAACCTTCCCGGGTTCAAAGTGGCAATTCTTCCCCAAAGAATATTATTTTCCACAAGATCCTAGGTCAGACTTCTAGTTCAAGGTAGCCAACTTTGTGGGGAAAGGGTCCAGGGACCACTTTTGGCCCCTTCTCCACAGACACTTCTCCACAGGGTGCCCTGTGCTCCATGCCCCCTTCATATGTTGAACAGACCATCCTTTGGCAAAAGCTTTTTATTCTCCAAAGTACATCCAAGCATAATCACCACAGAATGAGTCTCTGAGAATGCACAAAGCAGTTCATTGAACCCAGTCGAGCAGTTACTTCTGAGAACCCTCTTTCTGGAGGCAGGCCAGCCTCTTATCTGCACGCTGCTCCTCCAGTTGGATGGCCCTTCTCTCCTGACACCACGTCATGGAGTCAGGAGTTGTACCAGGCCTGTCCAGCTCCTGGAGCTTCTGTCTCACACCCGCTCCCAGCAGTTGGAAATCTGGCTGTTCTCAGAGTCCACATGAAAACCTGGAGAGGGCAGCCTTGAGGTAAGCCCCTCTCTTCTCCCGTCTCGATATGTGGAGGCCCAGTTTCCCAGGGTCCGTCCTCCCCATCTGAAGAGTCTGAATCTCCCTGGCCTCAAAACTTGCACCAAATACAACTGCATCTTTCATTCCCAATACCATGGGATGCTTGGGAGAAAGGGGTGGAGGCAAGCTATGCCATGGTGCTTTAAAGGGTCAAATTTAGCTGAATATGAGTCTTTCAGAGTTTTATAGCACAAGCATGAGATTTTTTTCTGGCTAAGTTGACAACTCCATGGGAGGTTCTGGGGGAAAGGAGCAACCTGTGGGCCACATGCTGTCCCTACTTCTAATCGAGGAAAGCCCAAATTTGCAACATATTTGTAAATAGCTGTATAATTTACAGAAGTGGAAGTGGGGTTGAAAATTCAACTGATATTTCAATTTTTTCCCATTCACTGGGAAAATTAAAATGATGGGCAGCCCAGCCCTATACATATTTTTTCAGAATTACCTCTGACTGATTTTAGTGGGGATCATTCCCAAGTAAGAAGGCCTTGTACTGCACCTGAGTTCAGCAAGTTGTTAATGGGTTAATTCTATATATACACAGATGATCTGAGTAAGCAATTTTTGCCATACAGAAAAATGTTTTTTTTTCCCCTACCTCTTTTTCAAATTCACAGAATAACAGATTGTAATACATTTGAATCATGCCGTGCGGAAAATAGCTTTTAAAAATAGGATTTATTGTAACAAAGCTTAGACTGTAATAGCTGTTGAAGTTGAGGCTAACCCAAAGGGTGTTCACAAGCCTTTGTGACCTCTCTCAAAGCAAAACCACACTGGCCATTCAGTACAGGCTACTTCTAAGTATTTTGACTTGAAAATATAAAATAAAAAAAAATCCTTGGGTGACAAACTGCCTTCTTGCTTCCACTTATTTTCTGGGACTTCTGCATTTTTCACCTTAT